TGGCTTCCAGCCAAACAAAAGACAGGCATATGAGTTGAACATTTACCTGAGGTAGATACACTCCTTGGAGAGAACAATCATGGGAGAAAGAAGGGCTGTGTCTGCACAGGGAGACAGCTCAGGGGGGCAGGAATGCATGGGAGGGATGGACACAGGGAAGAGGTAACTATTGGGAGGAAGTGGGAGAGGAGCTGTTGCATTGTGGAAAATTGCAGGCAATGTCATGAGACAAAGTGTATGTGAACTGTTGTATGGAAAGTGAATTTGCTCTGCAATCTTTTACCCAAATCACAATTAAAAAAAGGAAGTAATGACAGATAAAAGAGCTGAACAGAAGATTTCAAAGAGCAGCTTGAGAAGACAAAGTCAATTATTATAATGAAATGTGCAAAGACTTGGAGTTATAAAACCAAAAGGGAAGAACACACTTGGTATTTCTCAAGCTGAAAAAACTGAGGAAAAAAAGTAAGCCTTGAGTTGTAATATTGAAAGATTCTATGGGCAAAATATTGAATGATGCAGGAAAGATCAAAAGAAGATGGAAGGAATACACAGAATCACTGTACCAAAAAGAACTGGTCGATCTTCATCCATTTCAGAAGGTGGCATATGATCAAGAACCAATGGTATTGAAAGAAGAAGTAGAAGCTGCACTGAGGGAACTTGTGAAAAAATAGGCTCCAGGAATTGATGGAATACCCACTGTGATGTTTCAACAAACAGATGCCACGCTGGAGATACTTATTTATCTATGCCAAGAAATTTAGAAGACAGCTGGCTAACTGACTGGAAAAGATCCATATTTGTACCCATTCTAAAGAAAGGTGATCCCACCGAATGTGGAAATTATCGAACAATATTAATATCACATGCAAGTAAAATCTTAGTGAAGATAATTCAAAAACGGCGCAATATATTGACAGGGAACCCCCAATTCAGGCTGAATTCAGAAGAGGACGGGGAACAAGGGATATCATAGCTGTTGTCAGATGGATCTTGGCTCAAGGCAAAGAATACCAGAAAGATGTTTACTTGTGTTTTATTGATGATGCAATGACATGTGACTGTGTGGATCATAACAAATTATGGATAACATTGAGAAGAATGGAAATTCCAGAGCACTTAATTGTGCTCATGAGGAATCTGTACATACACCAGGAGGCTGTCAATCGAACAGAACAAGGGATACTGCACGGCTTAAAATTAGGAAGGGAGTTTGTCAGGGTTGTATCCTTTCACCATACTTATTCAATCTGTATGCTGAGCAAATAATCTGAGAAACTGTACTATATGAAGGAGAACAAGGCATCAGGATTGGAGGAAGAGTCATTAACAACCTGCGATATGTGGATGACAAAATCTTGCTTGGTGAGTGAAGATGACTTGAAGCAATGATTGATGAAAATTAAAGACTATAGTCTGCAGTATGGATTACACCTCAATATAAAGAAAACAAAAATCCTCCCAACTGGACCAATAAACAGCATCATGATAAATGGAGAGAAGATTGAAATTGTCATGATTTCATATTACTTGGTTCCACGATCATCACCCATGGAAGCAGCAGTCAAGACATCAGAGGACGCTGGGCAAATCTACTACAGATGACCTCCTTGAAGTGCTGAAGAGCAAAGATGTCTTTTTGAAGACTGAGGTGTGCCTAACCCAAGCCATGGTATTTTCAGTTGCCTCATATGCATGCGACAGCTGGACAATGAATAAGGAAGACCAATGAAGAGTTGATGCTTTTGAGTTGTGGTACTGGCAAAGAATGCTGAAAGTACCATGCATGGACTGCCAGAAGAACTAACAAATCTATCCTGGTAGAAGTGCACCCAGATTGCTTCTTGGAAGCGAGAATGGCCAGACTTGGTCTCACCTACTTTGGTCATGTTGTCAGAAGGGACCATTCCCTGGAGAAGGATATCATGCTTGGTAGGGTGGAGGGTCAATGAAGAAGGGGACGGCCCTCAACAGGATGGATTGGCACAGTGGCTGCAGCGCTGGGCTTGGGTAGAGCAAGGATCGTGAGGCTGGCACAGGGCCAGGCAGTGTTTTGTTCTCTTGTACCCAACTCAACAGCACCTCACAACAGGGATCTTTCTGCAGTTTTCATTTGATTCAAACGTAAAATGAGAGCATGTCTCTGGTATTGTGTGATAATGTACATGCAAGACAGTATACTTGTTCAGCACAAGCAGGGTGGCTTTCCATTTTTAAAACACTAAATTTGCAAGAATTTTTGTCCAAATGTTTCACACAAACCAACTCAGCCCTTACTCTCTCCCCCCATCCCACTTTTCTTCCCTTCCTCCCTTCCTCTCTCTCTCTCTCTGTCTCTTTCTTCCTTTTTCTTTACGGTTTTAAGAGTGGTTGTAAACACTCAACTTTGGGGAAATGCATCTTTAGGCTGAAGTTGTATTCGGCACTAATGTTTTGGGGACAGATTTAAGGACACAGGTTGGGGTAGATTTTTGTGTGTGTGTTTCTTTGAGGGGAGTGAGTGTGGGAGGGTTGTCACACTGAGTTGCCTCAAAATGGGTGGGAGTTTTAGGGCATTGTTTTCTATTTCTGGAGGCCCAGGATGGTGCAAAATGGATTAACATGCTCAACTGCAAGTTTGGAGGTTTGAGTCTGCCCAAAGTTGACTCAGTGGCAACTGGTTGGTTTTCTATTTGTACTTCAGTGTGGATGTAATAGGTCAGGAGATTCAGCAGAGGCCCATTTGAGACAGATTCAGCCACCATCTTGTCCTTTCACTTGGCTGCCAGGAAAGGGACCACTGACCTCTAGACTCCTAGGCCTGCTTATTAGAAATGTGGTCAGGGTGCATGCTCCTTTGTTCTCTGGCCTTTTGGTACACTCCTCAACCTAGACTGGGGACCTGGTCAGCCACTGTCTTACGACAGGAAAACTTAGGAGTTATGGTAACATCTGGATTGAGGCTTAAGAAAAAGCCTCCTGGGGCTCTGTTCTAAACTTACTGCAGTGGGCAGTTGTGGAGTCCCCGGGAGCCCATGATTCTAAGGAAACCCTAAAGCTCCTGGTTTTCTATTTGCTCATTGATGGATCTCTCTTAGGAACTTAGTGGCAGGGATAGCTGAGCCACGACTTGATTCCATCATTTCTGCATTTGCTTGCTCCATATCACCTAATATCAAAGTCAACACTGATTCCTAATGTGACCAAAGATAAATATTATTAAAAGGTGTGATTAGTCTAATTTTAAAATTGAATTTAAGTGTTCACTGATAAATAAAAATTAACATTCAAAATATTAGTAACTATTGAATATGGTGGCAGTGAAGTAATGCCCCTTAAAGTGTGTTGGGGTTCCCCTTTGCCCCAATTAATCCTGTGGCTGTACCAAAACCAAACCAAACTCACCGCCGTCAAGTCAGGCCCGACTCACAGCGACCCCTCCTTGGGTTTTCAAGGCAGTATCTCTGAGGAAGTAGATTGCCCAACGTTCCTTCTGAAGAGTGGCTGGTGGGTTTGAACTGCCAGACTTCTGGTTAGCAGTCATGTGCCTTAGGCACTATGCCACCAGAGCTCCTGTGGGTGTACAGTGTGGCAAAAAAAAAAAAAAAAAAAAAAAAACAGGAGTAGCATCGCTCTGAGGCATGGACCATAAAGTCCATATTCTGTTCCTCCTGCATAAATGCAAACTTATTCTGATTTTGATCATTAATAGGAATGAAGAAAAAGATGTTTTTTAGGTTAGTAGTTCTCTCTCAGGTGCCTGGGGCTGTGTTAATTTTCTCCAGACAAGATGCTGTATCTGGAATTGCAGTTGTTTTTGGCATCATCACCTGATTAAATTTGGAATGATCTGTCATTTTCAATTTCAACCTTGTCGCCCAACTGTCACCTTACATTTAGCATATGAATAAGCAAACTCATCTTCTTAGCAGTCCACCGAGTCCTGAATGACACATTTCTGTCAATAGAGTATCTCTTCTGTCATCTATGAGGTCCTTGATGCCACCACTTTGGTTTTATTCGTATGTCCATAATCATTCCTATTGCCTATATGGTGGAACATTTTGTTTTGGAGTTAAGTTTGTGGAAGCTAGGAGTGTTTGCTCCATATCTGAAACATGTCAAAAGCTCTTTAAAGGATCCCTACATTCTTTTGAAAAGACTAATAACATACCATTAAGGTCCCGGTGGAATTCCCTCGATAAGTCTGCCACTTCTTCCCATCAAGACTATACATGATGATAAACTGAGAGATGTAGAGGCTGGAGAGCTTCTGGCGGGCCCCCTGGGTCTTGATGCCATGAACAATCATTGGGGCCAACAAGTCCACCTGCCAATGAAAACAACACTTTATTTAAACCTGTTTTTAAATGTGTGTTCCATCTCCTGAAATTAGCTCTTGGCTTAGGAAGATCCTAAGCAGCTCTGGTAGCACAGTGACTAAGGCATCTGACTGCTAACCAGAAGGCCTCTGGTTCAAACCCACCAGCCACTCCTCGGAAGGAAGGTTGGGCAATCTACTTCCATAAAGATACTGCCTCAGAAACCCAAGGAGGGGTCGCTATGAGTTGGAAATGACTCCACGGCACATAACAACAACAACAACAACATATTCTTTCTAAAGGTGGTGCAACGGTTAAGTGCTCAGATGCTGATCAAAAGGTTGGAGGTTTGAACTCACTCAGTGGCTCCACTGCCAGGAGAAAGACCTGGCAGTCTGGTTCCACGAAGTTTGCAGCAAAGAAAACCTATCGGGCAGTTCCACTCTGTCACATGGGGTCCTATGAGTCAGCACTGACTTGATGGCACCCAACAACTACATATTCTTTCTAGCTCCAGGACCTAACATGATATCTGATATAATATTGATGCATGGTAAATGCTTTTGAATGAATGAGTGAATAATGGTCAAATGGTAAGGGATGGCTTTAAAAAAAAAAAAAAACCCACAAACTTTTATTGTGATTTGGGTGAAAGTTTACAGAGCAAAATCACTTTCCATTCAGCAGCTCATATACACTTTGTTATATGACATTGCCTGCAATTTCCCACAATGCAACAGCTCCCCTCCCACTTCCTTCCCATAGTTACCTCTTCTCTGTGTCCTTCCCTCCCATGCACTCCTGTCCCCTGAGCTGTCTCCCTGTGCACACACACACATTCTATTCTCCCCAGATTGATCTCTCCAAGGAGTGTATCTACCTAATGTAAATGTTCAGCTCATATGCCTGTCTTTTGTTTGGCTGGAAGCCACAGGAGTGGGTTCAATTCCAGACCTGAAGGGCAGCTGGGTATCATAGCCTCAATGGTTCCATCAGGCTCTATCAGACCAGCAAACCTCATCCCTTTGCTTTTTTCTTTTTTTTTTTTAAATGATTTAGAGTTTTGTTCCACGTTGTTCTCCCACTCTATTCAGGATCTTATACAGAGATCTCCCTCCAAGTGGTTGATGGTGGTAGCTGGGCACCATCTAGTTTTTCTGGTCTCATAGTCATATAGGCTGAGGATCTCATGGTGTACCAGTCGCTTGGACTAATTGTTTCCATGCATCTTTGATTTTCTTCATTCTTCTTTGCTCTGGATGAGGAGAGACTTATCCTTGCATCTAGATGGCTGCTGGCAAGCTTTTAAGATTTCAGTTGCTACTCGCCAAAGTAGGATGTGGAACAATGTTTTTGTGTAGTATGTTATGCCAATTGATCTTGATAGGAATGGTTCATTCTTAAAGAAGAGAGAATGGACCAACTTTGGGATCAGTTACTGTCCTAACAAGCAATTCAAACTTAATATGTTCTCACTGGTGCCTGGCCCATCCAAATTGGACTGGACGTGACTTTTGTGCTTAATGGCTGTCTCCTTCACTTGACTGTAAGTTCCATTCATACATTCATTTGTTCAAAGAATATTTGAATAATTTTTGAGCACTTGCTTTATACCAAGCATTGTTATGTTTTTGTTGTTGTTGTTATGTGCTGTTGAGTTGTCTCCAACTCATAGAGACCTATGCACAACAGAGCAAAACACTGCTGGTCCCGGGCCAGCCTCATGATCCCTACTATCCCTGAGCCCATCACTGCAGCCACTGGGTCAATCCATGTTGTTGAGGGCCTTCCCCTTTTTCGCTGACTCTCTGCTTTACCAAGCATGACATCCTTCTCCAGGGAATGGTCCCTTCTGACCACATGACCGAAGTAGGTGAGGTTAAAACTGGCCATTCTCGCTTCCAAGGAGCATTCTTGGTGCACTTCCTCCAGGACAGATTTATTAGTTCTTCTAGCAGTCCATGGCACTTTCAGTTTTCTTCGCCAGCACCACAACTCAAAAGCGTCAACTCTTCTTTGGTCTTCCTTATTCGTTGTGTGCTGCCACATGCATGTGAAGCGATTGAACATACCATGGCTTGGGTTAGGCGCACCTTAGTCTTCAAAGAGACATCTTTGCTGGTTGGCGTAGCACGTGAAAGAGGTCCTTTGCAGCAGATCTGCCCAGTGCAGCATGACGTCTGATGTCTTGACTGCTGCTTCCACGGGTGTTGAGTGTGGAACCAAGTAATGTGAAATCTTTGACAACTTCAATCTTTTCTCCATTTATCATGATGGTGCTTATTGGTCCAGTTTTGAGGATTTTCGTTTCCTTTATGTTGAGGTGTAATTCCTATTGCAGACTGTAGTCTTTAATCTTCATCAGTAAGTGCTTCAAGTCATCTTCACTTTCACTTTCACAAGTAAAGCTGTGCCATCAGTGTATCACAGGTCGCTTATGAGTCTTCCTCCAATCTTGATGCCACACTCTTCTTCATATAGTCCAGCTTCTTGAATTATTTGCTCAGCATACAGACTGAGTACGTACGGTGAAAGGATACAACTCTGATAAACTCCCTTCCTGATTTTAAACCATGCAGTATCCCTTGTTGTATTCAAACAACAGCTTCCTGGTCTATGTACAGATTCCTCATGAGCACAATTAAGGGTTCTGGAATTCCCATTCTTCTTAATGTTATTCATAACTTGTTATGATCCACACAGTCAAATGCCTTTGCATAGTCAATAAAACAGAGGTAAACATCTTTCTGGTATTGTGTGCTTTCAACCAAGATCCATCTGACATCAGCAATGATGTCCCTCATTCTCTGTCCTCTTCTGAATCCAGTTTGAACTTCTGGAAGTTCCCTGTCCATGTACTGCTGCAACCGTTTTTCAATTATCTTCAGCAAGATTTTACATGCATGTGGTATTAATGATATTGTACAATAATTTCCACATTCTGTTGGATCACCTTTCTTTGGAATGGGTAGAAACGTGGATGTCTTTCAGTCAGTTGGGCAGGAAGTGTCTTCCAGATTTCTTGTCATAGATGAGTAAGTGTCTCCAGGGCAGCATCCTTTTGTTGAAACTTCTCAATGGGTATTCTGTCAATTCCTGGAGCCTTGTTTTTCACCAATTCCTTCAGGGCATCTTGGACTTCTTCCTTCAATACCATTGGTTCTTGATCATATGCTACCTCCTGAAATGGCTGAATGCCGATCAAGTCTTTTTGGTACAGTGACTCAGTATATTCCTTCCATCTTCTTTTGATCATTCCTGCATTGTTTGATATTTTACCCATAGAATCCTTCAATATTGCAACATGAGGCTTGAATTTTTTCTTCAGTTCTTTCAGCTTGAGAAATGCCAAGTGTGTTCATCCCTTTTGATTTTTTAAGTCCAGATCTTTGCACACTTCATTATAATACTTTACAGTGTCTTCTTAAGCCACCCTTTGAAATCTTCTGTTCAGTTCTTTTATCTTGTCATTTCTTCCATTTGCTTTAGCTACTCTCCATTCAAGCACAAGTTTCAAAGTCTCTTCTGATAACCACTTTTGTTTTTTTCTTTCTTTCTGCATATATATCCACATGTATAACAAACCACATGGGTGCTTCCTAGACATATCCAAACAACTTGTGGGATTGGTTTACTGGCTCAGGGGCCTTAGAACCTTAAGGGGACAACTTAGTCAACTGGCATAACATAGTTCACAAAGATAATGTTCTACATCTGAGTTTGGTGAGTAGCATCTGTAGTCTTAAAAGCTTGTAAATACCCACCTAAGATACAGCTATTGTTCTTTACTTGTATGGAGCAGAAGAGAATGATGGAAATCGAAGGATCAAAGAAGAAACCAATCCATGGGACTAATAGTACAAACAAACTACAACCCCTTCAGACCTGAGACGGAAGAACCAGATGGTGCCTGCCTACCAACATGTTCTGACCAGGGACATGATAGAAGGTCCCAGACGAATGGAAGAAAAATTTAGAACAAAAGTCAAATTTCTTAAAAAAGGCCAGACCTATTGGACTGAAAGAGACTAGAAGAACCCCTGAGACTAGCACCCTAAGATAACCTTTGAATGTGGAATTGAAGCTATCTCTATGGGTCACCCTTCAGCCAAATAATAGACTGGCTTATAATATAAAAAATTATCGTCTGTGAGAAATGTGCTTCCTCAAACAATGAACTGTAATGAGATTAAATGGTCAACATTTACCCCAAAACAAAGGTGAGAAGGCAAGGAGGACATGGTAAACTAGATCAATGGAAACAGAAGAAACAGAGTGGAAATGATGAGAATGCTAAGACATTGTGAAAACTAACCAATAGCACAGAACAGTCTGTATAAAAGTCGTTAAAGAGGAACCTAATTTGCTATATAAACTTTCACCTAAAGCACAATAAATTTTTGTTTTATGAAAGAAATACAAGTTGGAGAATATGTAGTTTGGCAGCACCATAAACCAAACAATACTTAGGGCTTAGTGAATAGTCAGAGCAAGTTACCAAAATAAAAAGAAGAGAGGAAGAAAGGCAGAAAGGAGCTGATGGGGCATTGACAGACATGCTCTTTGCATCTGCTTTGTGGTAAATGAGTTCTCTTTTTCCAATCTCTATGTGGTATTTTAACAGAGAGCAGATACACTAGGTAGGGCCATGTCCTCAGCCAACTAAAAAGAGGAGGAAGAAAGCTGGTGCACTATGAGAAAATAACAGAGGTGGGGGGAGTAAGTGGTAAAATGTGTGTGCAGAAGTGCTCTGGCCTGGCTGTATGTACCAGAGATAGGAGGCATGTTAGATAGGTTGAGAGCAAAGCCGAAAGCAGAAAAGTTTCCTTCTTCTTCCTGTTTGGAGGCCTAGAAGGAACCTGCTCTTGTTGTTAGGTAGAAAGGCTGACTTGGCACACCCAGGGTGCCTTCACTTCTCACATAGCATGGAAGACACCAAGAAGGGGTCACAGAGCCTGATTCATCACATGATGAAATGATAATGTGTTTATATATGTTGAGTGAAATAAAATGTATTGTTAAACCTGGTTTTTTAAACATGGCTACTGAAAAATGTGAAATTATGCACATGGTTTGTATTTATGGCTCACATTATATTACTCTCGGATGGCACTGACCTAAAGGAAACAGGGAAGTGCAGAAATAGGAAAGAATGAGTTATTTTTAAAATATTGAGTTCACCTATCCCTATACACAGCTTTAATTATAGGTTTCAGGTCAGTTTACCAGCTTGGACTGACTTAGTAGGCTATTTCTACTAGCCAGCAGTGTAGAATTCATGAGGAAGACAGAATGATTTTAGAAAATAGAAAAGCCACTTTTCCTTTGCTCATGTAGTGGGGGGTTGAGCTATTTGTTTTTATGTGAAAATAAGGGGATTGGAGGACTCAAGTTCACTAGGCAGTCAGACACATCTTGGGAGGTAATGAGTTTAATCTTCTAGAAAGTATTTAAATGTTCTAATTCTAGTAGATTGGCGTTGGAGAGCCAGAACAGGTAGGGCAGGCCAGGAAGTGGGAGCGGAGTGGTTTGGAACAACTAAGAGAGACAAATTTGTCAGTTTGTCGTACTGTGGTGGCGTGCGTGTTGATGTGAGGATGGAGGTGATACCACTGGTGTTTCAAATGTCAGTAGGGTTACCCATGGTGGACAGGTTTCAGTGACGCTTCCAGACTGAGACAGACTTGAAAGAAGGAAGAGAACATCCACTTCTCAAAGAATGGTCAGTGAAAACCTGATGAATAGCAGTGAAACCCTGTCTGATATATTGCTGAAAAACTTTATCAATAGCCCTGAAACATTATCTGATATAGTGCCGGAACATGAGCCCCTCAGGTCAGAAGGCACTCAAAATACACAATGGCTACAACGATGGGCTCAGGCATAACAGGGATTGTGGGGTTGGTGCAGGACCGGGCAGTGTTTTGTTCTGTTGTGCGTAAGGTCACTACGAGTTGGGGACTACTCGATGGAACTTAACAACAACAATGCCAGTAGAAAGATTAAAATTAAAGATGTAAGACACTATAGTCTACTCAATCCTATTTCCAAGTCTTTCATTCCTGACTGTTTTTGTACAAATCACAAATCACTCTGATCTTTGGTTTTTCCCCATCTGTTAACTGGGGTTTGATGAGAAAGATTGAGGTATATATATAATTTTTATACACACACACACACACACACAGATTTGAGCTATCAAGGGGAAGAAGTGATGTGATTGAATGTGACATATTTCTCATTACCAGTTAATTTTTCTAACCTTGATCCAGGAAAAAGGATCCTTGGTGCTCCAGGCATTGATTGATCCAGTATAATGAAGTCTGGCTAGATTTGGGGCCCACTGTCCTTTGCCCAAGAAAAGAGAGAAAGACTGGATTCAGTTGGGTTGGTGCTAGACACTTGCCAATGAAATTATTCTCTTGAGAAAAATTAATCCTAGCTGTGGAGAAAACAGAGAAAGGCATAAAAATTCCATTTGAATTAGAGTGTTGGGGAAGAATATTGAATATCCCATGGACTGCCAAAAGAACAAACAAATCTGTCTGGAAAGATGAATAGCCAGAATGTTCCTTAGAAGCAAGGGTGGTGAGACTTCACCTCACATACTTTGGACATGTCATCACGAGGGACCAGACCCTGAAGAAGAACATCATGGTGGGTAAAGTATGGAGTTGGTGAAAGAGAGGAAGCATTATCACAGAAGGGTTTTGACCGTCCTGTTGTCCATACTATGATTTTGTTGATTGTTAATACTTCTAATTAGCTGATACTGGAATCTGTTACTAACAAATCATATTATTTCTTTATTACATTAAATATGTTCACTGTAGAAAAATCAGAAAATGTAAAATAAAAAACAAGTAAAAATACTAATCAAAGACATTTGAGAAGACAAAATTCTTCCACCTAGAAAAAAAAATGTATTCTTTCAGTATATAACCTTCAAGCCTTTTTTTTCCCCAAAGGAATTTTTTTTTTCCCTGTTAAATGGGGATTGGTAAACTTTTCCTAAAGGGGTAGAGAGCAAATAATTTAAGCTCTGTAGATCATATGGTCTTTGTCGCAACGACTTAATTCTGTTGTAGTGCAAAACCAGCCATAGCAATATGTCAGCAAATGAGTATGGCTGTGTTCCAATAAAACTATTTATGGACACTGAAATTTGAATTTCATATAATTTCCTCATGTCAGGAAATATTCTTCTTTTCATTTTTTCAAATCATTTAATCATGCAAAAACCATTCTTAGCTTGCCGGCAATACAAAACCAGGTAGCAGGCTGGATTTGGTCGGTGGGCCGCAGTTTGATGACCCCGGCTCTGAAACGATGTTTGAGAACTCTCTATACATCCTGTCCAAGCTTTACCCCTCTTGCTTACAGGAAAGCGCAGCCTCCAGTGTTCTTCTCGTCTAACATGGAAGGACATGGAATTATCTGGGGGAATGACAACACTACCACGCATCCCTTCAATAAACATTTACTGAGCCCCTCCTCTTTGCCAGGTGCGAGGTTACTCAGATATGACCTTAACCTCAAGGAGCTCAAATTATACTTTGAGATAGTTACAGTACAGTATGAAAAGGGCTACATAGAAGTATGTGCATGAGCCCACAGAAAAATGCAAGAGAAAATGACTTTGTCTTTTTGTGTGGAGAGAGTTATGAAAGTCTTCTTAAATGAGATGAGGCTAGAAGACAATCTTGAAGGATGTGGAAGAGTTTGCAAGACAGAAAAGGGTGAAGAGAATCGTTTCAACGGGGGAGTAAGCAATATGTCAGGAGCTCTGGTGACGTAGTGCCTAAGGCACTTGACTGCTAATCAGAAAGCTGGAGGTTCAAACCCACCAGCCACTCCACGGAAGGAAGGTTGGGCAATCTCCTTCAGTAGTGACACCGCCTCGGCAACCCAAGGAGGGGTTGCTATGAGTCAGGTCTGACTCAACGGCACATAACAACAACAACAACAACAACAACAACAAGCAATATGTCAAGGCAGAGACTCATGAGATGGCATGCACACACAGGAGAGTACTCCAGGATAGGGTGCAAGGGGCGGGAATGTCGGGGGATCAGAACGGAGATTTCGGCAGGGCTCAGTCACAGAAGGTCTTGCTCTGAAGGTGACAGGAAGCGTCTAAGATGGTTTAAGCAGTAAGTGAAGTGCCTGGATTTGTGCTTCACAATATCAGTCCTGCCACAGTGAGGGCAATGAGTTGAACAGGCGCACTACCAAAGGCAGGAAGGCTGCTCAACAAGGCGGTGGCACTGCCCAGATGAGAAATGATCAGCACCTGAATTCAAATGGTCACACTGGAAAACGGAGAGGAGGAGATGGCTTTGAGAGGGACTTGTGGAGTAGAATTAATCCAGCCGTAGAGGAGGCTGGCTTCTCCGAATCTCTCTAAGAGAAATGCAAAAGCTATAGTCAGCCCAGGTTCTCGGAGGGAGAGTTAGTATTTACCATAGTGTCCTGAAGCTGTAATCTGAGAATCTCGGATGCGTCCAGAAGCCATTCCCAGGGGAATCTGACACTCTGAAATCAAACAGGGAAAACACAGTAGCTAAAAGTGCAGAGAATTTGGCCCCCAAGATGTAAGTCAGTGAAAATTGGAGAAAACCAACAAACACTAACATCTTTTAGTGTTTACTATGTGTTAAGAGCTGTATTAAATATTTTATTGTCCTATATTATTCAATTCACCATAACAGGTAGGTCCACATCTCGCACCTCGGGAAGGTAGGGTTCATACATAAGTAGACCAGTGGCTTTCTTACTTGTTGAAGGTTAAACTCCTGAATTCTCCCAAGTGATCTTTGTACTGAGTCTAAATTAAATTCCAAAATCTTCTCTTGTGATCTTGGCACTCCATAAAGTTTTGAAAACGAGGAGATCTTTTCAGCACTGATGTATTAAGTATTTAGAGCTCCAGATTCCTTACAGGCAGCAAGCAAAGATGACACAAAGCTGTATGGAAGTGGCTGAGTAGCAGCCAGCCTCTGGCCACAGCGCTACTCACCCTTGCTGTACACCAGGAAAAGAGCACTCATTCCAGCTTGCAGGTGCTCGCCAATAAGGCATTCGACCCGCCAAATGCCCGCTTTGGATGGCAGCATTTCCACGGTCTCAAACACACCTTATCAAACACAAAAGGAACAAGGAGTTCACTAAAAAAGGAGCATGAGATCCACCGGCTTATGCAGAATGTCAAGAGATTTCTCTATGTCAGTCGCGCCACTCTTGGACCAGTCCAACTCAAAGTGCTTGTTATGTGACCTCTGCTGTTGGAGGCACTGGAGATTGAGTGCTGATGGCCCTCCTTCCCAGGAAATGAGAGAGACTGGTGACTGCATGCTTTGGTGGGAGAGGCAGGAGAATGCCCGAGTTCCTCATTGAGCAGATACAGGCTCCTCGGGAGAGAGAGTGGGTCTAGTCCCACTAGGGGTGCCAAGAGGGGTAAAGTAAACCCCGCAACAAGAAACTGGAGGTGAATGCTGAGGGACCAAGGACTGAGCCACAAGTGATCACCCAGAATAAAAGTGAAACCAGCTAGGTCAAGGGGAGTTCAGGAGAGGGGATCCCAGAAGAGACCCTGAAAATGCCTTGTAAGAGGAAGGAAGAGCCAGCTTGAAGTACCCTCCAGGTGCAGACAATGTGAATGATGCCAGTTGTAAGTCAGCAAGCACTGTGCTCCCCCTCACCCTCTCCATGCTGTGAAAACAGCACACATGCACAAGGTGAACAGAAGACACAGCCACCCTTACTTACAAAATCAGAGTTTTCAGTAATACATTGGAGGGGACATTGTGATGTAAAGTGACTGCAGGCCTGCTTACCACTAAAGAGGGAGCAGAGAAGAAGTCACAGGGCTTATCAGAATTTTCACCCCCAAACAGGGGAAGTTTGCCCCCAGGATCAAACCTTTCTAAAAGCTGTGTTTTTGAAAAGCATGGTGAGTAGTGCCCAGTCAATATACTGGTTACATACATAAACCATTCCCTATGCATCCATTCTGCTGGATTTCCTTTACAGCACTTTGTTCTGTATCTGGAATGATCGTTTTCATTTGCTAACTAATTTACTAGCTCTCTGTAGGTTAAAGTTACTTGAAAAAGTAAGTTACCTGAGAGCAGGGAGTTTGTCTGCTTTGTTCGCTGACTGTATCTCTAGTGCCTAGACCAGTGCCTAGAACATACATCAATAAGTACATAGCAGAAAGAGCACACAGATCCTACCTGGATAGAGGTTGTACACGGCCATTTTATACTCCTCCTTTTTGCGCACGGTGAACACGTGTCCACTGAAATGAATAGAATGGATATTTTCATTGCTGCCCATGCTCAGCAGGTACCACCGGATCCTTTGGTCCTGAGCCATCACTAGGCCGGGTAGTGTATCCATCACATAGCCATTGATTGCTGGAAGGCGAACACAGAGAAGACCATCAAACCCTACTGTAGACATTCTTGCTCTGCACCCCACCACAAACACCAAGGCTTCTGAGGATTCTTCTCCTACACAGACACTCTCGATTCATACATTGCTCAAGTGTTTGGCTCAAAACTCACTTGGCATAGTGCATGCTGCATTTTACCAGGAGTACTATTTGGGTGTGGGATGTTACCATGGAAGCGATGGTTCTTTTGAAAATCAGGGCCCTCCATCTGGCCATCGCAGGGAGCCTTGCAGTTCCTTTCCATGTTTTCAGTGAAGTACCAACTCTTGGTCTCATCAAAGATGGTGAAAAACAGAGCAAACTCCTGGACTGTCAGCTGTCTCCCGTGAGCGGGGTTCAACGTGTTCGCGCGGCAGATCAGAAGGGGTCCGATCAAGCCCGAGTGCAGATCTTTTTCCTGGGGAAGGAAGATCTCAATCCTGAGTATAAGCCCTCTCTCACCTGTGAACCACAATAGATTCCTCATCAACTCTTTTGCCACCCCACCCCACCCCTCATTTCCCCACAGCACAATTCATTCTCTTCGGTAAATTCCAGCTATTTCAAAAAGGCTTCCTATTGCTCTTGGTATAGCTACCAAAACTCTCAGCAGAGCACACAAAGACCATTTCTTTCTCACCATAAAGTGGGCAGCACACCTGCTTACCAGATCAACATCAGAGAAATACGCCCAGGCTTTGCAGTCAAACTCATCTTTAGTGGGGGCCATATGATGTTGCACTTTCCAAAAGTAAGTTTTGATTTCATTAGGCTTCACTAAATTTTTTCTAGGTTCTGGTCCTTGCCTCTGATCTTCCTCATAAGAAATAAGGCTGGAATAGAAGGAGTATGGACGAGAGGCCTTATTTTTAAAAGTCACCTGCAGAGAAGTCACAAAGACACAAACGTCATATTTTTAGGGTCTTAAAGTCCTTAGGGTTCACATCCATAATAGGGATGCCTATCTTTTGGGCTTTATCCAAGTTTTTAATACATTGCAGGAAGTGGTATAGGGGGTGGATTGACAGAAGAGACAGGAACTTTAGAATTCTCAACTCTTTAAGGCACGAATTCAAACTTGCGAAGGTAAAAGGTGAACTATCACCACAGCGGTCTGAAGATACAAGAACCTCAGGAGCTGATACCTAACTCCAGGTTCATCACGACAAATTCCAGGACGAATGCATCAGGTCTTTTTAAAATGATTTGTTTCTCATAATTAAAAAGTTACTCACATTTATTGTAAAACATATAAAAGTACAATAAAATTCAAGGTAATACCCCTGCACTCGCATAATTTTAGAATCTTCAGCATGCTTGGTATCAACCATCAACTGGGAAAATGGATGGAAATTTTTGGAAAAAATAAAATGACTTTGATCTTTAGCTTGCACAAGGCACAAAATAATTCCTAGTCTATAGGAAATATTAGGAGCTCTGGTAGCATAGTGCCTAAGGCACTTGACTGCTAACCAGAAGGCTGGCGGTTCAAACCCACCAGCCACTCCTCAGAAGGAAG